AAAATGAACATTTTAGCGAAGGAAATTTGGCAACTCTCGAATGTTCATACGGCGTTCTTCCTTAGCACGGCAGATATAGCCTCATCACAAAACTACACTTTTTGGTGTGTTACGTCTTGCATTTAATTCCTCCAAGTCCAAGACATCGCAGGTTTACATTCCGCGGACAATCGGCCTCTTGATTTATCACGTCTTGTGCGGCAACCAGGTGACCAGGTCTCTTCCTTTTCTTTTCCTCCTCTCATCCTCCTCTCTTCCTCCTCTCTCTTGTCGTCCGATCGGATGCCGACCATGCCGATGCAATCGCGGATGCATCCGACTGGGTACGGTAATCCGCTTACGGTCCCAGTGCCGTACCCATAACCGTTGCCTTTCCCACCTGCCCCTACCCGGCACGCAACCCGCCGTGCCACCACGCAGACTCAGCAAAATCGGGCCTCGTTGCACTGTGGATCGAGTCAATAGGAGAGGTCGGACAAAATTTGGAAACTTTAACGCTCATAGCTCCGTTTATGTGAAACTTTAAGGTTCTTAAAATGACACTATTCTGTTGTGTTAAGGAAGAACGCCGTATGAACATTCGAGAGTTGCCAAATTTCCACAGGTATAACATGTATTTTCGACGATATTTAAGTGTATTTTTCCTTAAAATTTTCAGATATTTTAAATTAAATTGCGTAAAAATTTGTCTGATATTTTCGGAACATAATATTCACAATTTTCTCAGTAATTTCGGTTTTTATCCGAGGAAACTTGGGAACGTCTGGATGCTCATACGACGTTTTTCCTTAGCACGACAGTATTGAGTTTCTCATGAAATTTTCTTCCTGTAGCAACCCTTGAACTTGAAAATAAGACGAAATAAACATCAAAATTCGCAGTTTTTGTCAAGAATTTAATGTCCGACCTCTCTAATTGACTCGATCCACTGTGCGTCGCATATTGGAACAATTGGACTACATTTTGCAATTTGGACCTATAAATTCTGGCTCATCTGAAAAAATGCTTATGTGCATAGGGAAACTAATGGCACATACGTTGTTTTTAAACCGGGCCGGAATTTACAGGTCCAAATTGATAAATGCAGTCCAATTCTTCAGGAGAAGTTGAAGGAGAGAGGCTGGAGGTTAGTTATATTTCTTACGAAAACTTCAACTTATGATCTGAATTTTGTCGCAATTTAAGTAAACTGCGCTAAACAAGAAGGAACCAAGTCACATCAGCTATTGCCAAAGAGGGTTATGCAAAACGGCCAAAAAGTGACCCCGCGGGGATTGTACGAAACTTTGTGGGATGATTGTATAGGTCATTTTGGGACTGCATCTGGCTGCTTTTAGGCGAAAACCGCAGGGAAACAGCGTTGCCATTTTTTAAAGTCGTAACCTTCAAACACCCATAACTTTCGCAAAAATGCAGTTACAGAGCTCGTATTTATACCAAAAAATGCGGAAAATTTTGTTCTATCGACCAACGCAAAGGAAATATTTATTTGAGTCCACTATTGCCACGTTTTGGCCATTTTTTTAATTTTCATAATGATTAAAAATCACGTTATCGCCTAAAAGTGTGTTTGCAGTTGGTGGAGATTGAATAAAAACCTGTCGGAATTATTGTTCGTTCGATTCCGCATCCATTGATATGTTATACTTTTCTGAGAGGCTTAGGGAATCCAAGTTACAGCGATTTAAAAATTCGGCAACACGCCCGACACCCGATTTTGACGCTCGTTAAGGTACGTTTCGCGACTCCGTGTTGAAGGAGAACGCCTAGATAAAACAAAATTCGAAGAGCCAGTTCATGTTTTACGCTTTTTTGAAACTTTCACGTCATTTTTAGAAATTCAAGTAGCGGCGGTGTTGCCGGTTTTCGATATTGTATCGAGATCAAGATCGATTGATCTAGGTCCCTTTCCAAAACTAATCATCAGACCGCTCGGGTGATTCGGTAGCCTTAAATTTCGATACCTCGTTATTGTCGGACACCAGTGTCGTTGCAAAGAGATAGAAGAAACCATCGATTCGATAAATCGACAATTCCAACTACAGAATAAGGCTGGACGTGATTTAATGAGTGATACATTTTTTTTGTGATTGCGGCGGCGGTTTCCTTGAAAACTGGCAACCCCGCCTCTACGTGAATTCCGACGGAAATTAGGCGACGTTGTTAACATCATGTTGCAAATGGTCAGTTTAGGATAAACTATGTAGCTAGACGTGATTAAATGAGTGCTACTTTCAATTGTGTTCGCAGCGGTGGTTTTCATTGAAAACCGGCAACACCGCCGCTACTTGAATTTCTAAAAATGACGTGAAAGTTTCAAAAAAGCGTAAAACATGAACTGGCTCTTCGAATTTTGTTTTATCTAGGCGTTCTCCTTCAACACGGAGTCGCGAAACGTACCTTAACGAGCGTCAAAATCGGGTGTCGGGCGTGTTGCCGAATTTTTAAATCGCTGTAACTTGGATTCCCTAAGCCTCTCAGAAAAGTATAACATATCAATGGATGCGGAATCGAACGAACAATAATTCCGACAGGTTTTTATTCAATCTCCACCAACTGCAAACACACTTTTAGGCGATAACGTGATTTTTAATCATTATGAAAATTAAAAAAATGGCCAAAACGTGGCAATAGTGGACTCAAATAAATATTTCCTTTGCGTTGGTCGATAGAACAAAATTTTCCGCATTTTTTGGTATAAATACGAGCTCTGTAACTGCATTTTTGCGAAAGTTATGGGTGTTTGAAGGTTACGACTTTAAAAAATGGCAACGCTGTTTCCCTGCGGTTTTCGCCTAAAAGCAGCCAGATGCAGTCCCAAAATGACCTATACAATCATCCCACAAAGTTTCGTACAATCCCCGCGGGGTCACTTTTTGGCCGTTTTGCATAACCCTCTTTAATTGGGTCATTAATGTTTTACATGAAAACGGTCGTGAGGATTTTTGTGCAAATTTCAGTGAATTTTCTGCACAGTTCAGAGTAAATTTCCTAAAATTTTCAAAGGAATCCGCACAAAAAGTTCTCTCACAAACGAAATTTCACTAAATAATGCCATAAGTACTATTGCTAATAGAGTCATTTAATTCCTTCGTCAGACACAAGAGTAAGGAACTCAAAACTTGCTTGCGTTAAACAGTCACCAAAAATACAAAATTTTGGATTCATAATATGCAATGCATGTTGAACTAAATCACAATGTATTCTGCTAAATTAGACAATATTATAGCAAATTATACTATACTACATTACATTATATTATTCTGTATTGTATGTCCCGTTAAAGAATGAAAGCTTAGCGAAAATAAGAAGTTGGTGTGTGTCTCCTAGAGTAAAATAAAAATATATAAGAGAAACTTAACTTAACTTAGAGAAACTAAAGTTTCAGGATTTGGATCTAGTAGCGAAAGGGCAAGTACCACGAGTGCCCTCAAGGGTGCGGCTTATTTCAATCTACTGAACTGGTGAATTTTAAAACTAACGTTTTAATCTATGTGAAAACGAACGTTGTAAAAACGACTTCTCATTCATACGAGACCGCGAGAACGGTGCTCTTTTCTATTTTTTACAACTTACCTTAATGTCACTCTTAAAATTATTCTTAGGGTGATTCGATGGACGCCATATTTTGTGTCAGAACGGCATGCGACATATCGCATCAATTGGTTCCATTTTTTCAGCTACTCGTCATTTTTCTCCAATTTTGAGATCGCAATTTTGTTGTCAGGAGACTAAAGCACTCACTTACCAATTTTAACAAAGAAATTCAACGTAATAAAGGCGCGGTTTTTTTTTAGAGAGAAAACATCGCATTCGATACTGATATCGAAACTGCACTCGAATGCGATATTTTCTCTCTAAAAAAACCACGCCTTTATTACGTTGAATTTCTTTGTTAAAATTGGTAAGTGAGTGCTTAAGTCTCCTGACAACAGAATTGCGATCTCAAGATTGGAGAAAAATGACGAGTAGCTGAACAAATGGAACCAATTGATGCGATATATCGCATGCCGTTCTGACACAAAATATGGCGTCCATCGAATCACCTTAAGAGGAGAACATAGTAAAAGTTACTGGACGTTTCGCTGTCATGGGCATTGAAAACACAAAGATTACAACGGAAGTCACTCGTCCCTCGGAACTTCGGACATCACCCTAGACTGAGAAGCGCGATACAACTATTGCAACTCCAGGGTCACTCAAATTGTATCCATCTAGTTGAAGGCGAACTTGATTTTTAACTCGGATGTCTGATGAGGTCGCGAGAGTGGTGCTTAGTTTTAACTTTTTCATCTTGCAACTTGTTGAAAACGCATTGTAGGGTTGTGGGTGAATATCCGTGAGTTAAAATGTCTTAAGTCCCTTGGGCAGAAATACTCTGCCGTGATAGCGAAGACAGCCGTAAGTGCAAAAATGAAGTTTTGAGAAAACGGGCTCAGAAGCTTCTGACAAGATCATTTTATTGAAAGAAGCCTCCGTTCTTCATAAAATTGCCACTAATCGTCCGGAAGACTCCTAGAAATCGTATGGATGATTAAAAATCGACTGATTTTATTTCCATTACATAAAAAGGATATTTTTCATTTTCATGCTAGGTTACTGTTAGGCATGACAGCCGTAAGTGCTATCTTCTGCATGCTTTCGTGGTTGCGTTTTGGACGCACAACAAACACATTTTCAGGTTAGAAATTGGCAGAAGAGGGCGGCACTTTACTGGAAAGCACTGTTTTCATTGGCGCTCATGCATCTACGGCTGTCTTGAAAAAAAAACTGTGTCATTTTTTGTGCACTTACGGCTTTTACATACGTCTCGTTTTCATCAAATTAAGATGAATTTTGCTATTTTAGCTGTCTCAGTAACTTCATCTAAAAGAGTTTAGACGAATTTTGAAGAAAACTCGATTTCGAAAATTTTGCACTTACGGCTCTCTTCGCTATCACGGCAGTGCTGTGTGCGAGTGGTCTTGGCACCATTCTTTATAATACATTATAATGCCAAATTTGGCTGACTAAGCTGTTAAAGACATGGTAGATGATATCAAACGAGCTAAAAGCTAGAAAATAAAATAATAAATTAGTGTATTCAACTACCCTCATGATGTTGACACGCAACAGGCAAAAGATGAAAATATAACTCACAAAAACATTTCTTCGCAGCAGACGTTTCGACCCAAAAGACGATGGTCTTCTTTAGTGCAACAAGAAAACAATGGAACCATTTTAACAAAAACAAAAGATGAAGATAAAAACAGGAACTGCAAAGCACTGTGAAGAAACATCATGTAGGTAGTTGAATACACCGGGTTATTATTTTATTTTTTGGCTTGTAGCTCGTTTGATACATCAATCACCATGTCTATTTTTTATGATCCGGAGTGAATTTTTAGAAAGGGTCCTACCGTTGCGTCACTTAGTTTCACCTTGAAACACATAATACACGCATAACATAAAATATGAAATTAGGCAAAATGATATGCAGAATGCAGTTAAGCTGTTTCTGATTATCTGTTTAGTTTTGCCTCACGAGCATTTGAAAGAGCTTGCTCACTTTCCACTAATTGTGAACTGAACCCGCATAACTATCTTTTTTCACTCCAGAAGAACTGGGCGCCTCTTTTGCCTTTCGATTAATTATTTCTCGCTCCCTATCAAAATTTGGAGTGTATGAATAATCTCGGTGAGGCAAATCCTTCACATATATGGTTCGATTACGACGATCCATTAAGTACAATTTCTCGTCGTACGCGATTCCTCTCAAGTCCACTTCGTGAATCTCCCTATACAGGGGGCAGTCTTTAACCTTTTTCTTTTGGCGTGGTATGGCCCAGACGATGTATTCCATGTAGTGTTTTGAGTTGCAATTGACGGATCCGTATGGGAGAGTCTGAAAATATATAGTGAGCATCGACTTAAGTTGAGTATGGTAATGCACGGAATAGCCGTAAACTGAACCTCATTTTGCTGTATACTATTTTCGGTTCATTTTTGAAACAACATATGTTTTATTAGTTTCTTTATGCAGATAGGTGTTTTTAGTTTTATGATTGAGTTAGGGATAGTAGCTCCATATTGCAAAATGTTTATTCAAATCCAAAATAAACTTTGATATGATAATAGTCATAGAGAAAAAAAAAAGGTGTTTGCATATTGAGGATTGTTTAGTCTACCCTGTTACGTAGGTCAGTACAACATGGCGTCGATATTCCAGCGAAATTCGGAATCCGAAGTATGAAAAACGGACCATAACGTCCGATTTTTCGCTTAAATCAACTCGTGCTGTATACAAAATTGGGTTTTTCCGTAAACTACACCATTTCCAAGAAAATCGATGATAAAAATCGCCCGTACCGACCCACGTCGTCAAAAAAATCCGATACGCCCGAAATGCGAACATCTCCTGTTAGCGTGTGATATGAGCGTGAATGAGGAGGTGTTTTAGCTTTGGTGATTAAGACGGCTCGATTCCTTGCAAAAAAGTTTGCATTTATCTTGAGACTTAAGGTGATTCGTCAAGATCAAGTGAAGTGGTCGAACTGGCATATATCATCGGTTAGTTAAAAAATCTCCGCAACTTTAAATTTTTAGCAAAAAAATGACGATAGCCCGTGCGCGTGAGCCTAAAAGAATCATTTTACATCCGTAAATCGGCAAAATTCAGAGAAATAAAAATGGAATAGTGTTAGGAAAAATTCCTCGCATTCATTTCAGCTATCGATTTCTGTATCAAATGCGAAGCTTTACTCCTAACACCACTCTGCTTTCATATTTCTGAATTTTGCCGATTTTTGGGTTCAGAATGATCCTTTAGGGTTATGCGCAGGAGCTATCATCCTTTTTTCTTGCTAAAAATTCGGTATCTGACGAGATTTTTGACCTGGTCGATGCGATATATCGCATATCAGTTCGACCACGTAACTTGAGCTTGACAAATCACCTGAAGTGTCACAGGAAAGCAGGGTTGTGTTCAACCAGCGCATAAACGTAAAACTAGGCGAGTGAATCCACGCTTCAAATGCATCAGTGCTTGTGCGTTCAGTGTAGTTTTTACGTTACTGACTCATCCTGGTTTTCCTTTTTGTCATGGGAACGGAGTTCCCCATGATATTAGAATCGTTCCGTTGCTTTCGCAATGGGATTCCCTATACCTCTGCGACCTTGAGCGTTTCGCCCAGTCTCCGATTTTTGGTTGATTTTCCGATGTATCAAAAACCGTTGTAATCTTTAGCCAATCATGTCTCTACGTCAAGTTGTGTTGATTGCTAAAATTCGCTTTCAGCGAGTTTTTTTCCACTTTGAGATGTCGTGTCTGACTGGTAAATCTGCGCAGAACCACGAAGTTCCGTTTTTAGGCAAATTCTTTTTTTTGGGAGGTTCTGATTGGTTATTTTTCGCCATCAGTTTTCTGTTCGTTGGTGCAAAAGATCGCCTACCTCGGTGTTCTTGAGAAGCCGCCATTATCCCACCTCAAATTTGAAAACTAGAAGTAAAGAAATAATAACTATCGTACAAGGTGGAAAATTGTTCTGGAGGACTCGTTACGGACAAAGAAGTCAAAATCAGAGCTTGATTGATTGATTTAATTCATGGATACGCAAATATTGCCTTAGCTCAACTGCCGCGATCGGAATGCAC